TATATATATATATATATATATATATATATATATATATATATATGGTACATTAGTATGAAGTTCGATGTGACTTTATTTGGGGAGCATGTTGACATGGTTAAGAGCTTCTTCCTAAAGTAGCCGTCATATGATGTCGTTATTGTGATTTAACATGCCAAAGTGAAGATATTCCAAGGTATTAGCAACATATTTACTTCGGAAAGATGATTTTTTTAAGAAAAATGCTAGGGGTACACCTTTGCTGTACCCCATTTGCCCCCACCCCCTCCTTGTCTACATAATTGGGCAAGAAAATCAAAAAATAAATAAAAATCAAATAAAAATGGGTGGTGGAGAAGGGGGTGGTGTACATTTGGGGTACACCAAAGGTGTACCCTAGCATGGATCTTTTTTAAATTTTTGTTAATACACTATTGTTCAATTTAAACTAAGAGTAATTTACCTAAATAGAACTAAAACATAATGACTTTCTCAAAGTAGGACCATATGTTTTTATTTTTCCCAATGTAGGATTATTGGTCATTAACTATTAGTCATTATTCTACTAAATGTCCAGCATCACTTGGACACTATTCTTCTCACTAGTCATTATTAAGTCTTATTTAAGGAATAAAAAAGTTTAAGTGTTACATTGAGAAATGACTTATGTTTTAGTCCTATTCAGTGCAAATTTCACTTAAACTAACTCATAGTGGTTAGCAGGAAAAACTGTTTTACAGAATGTTATGTACGGTACTCGTCTTCTTTTGAATCCACATGTAGAAGAAGTCACCACATTTAGAAAGAGGTAGGTCTATGCATCTCTAACACATCGTGCTTTATAAATTTTTAGAGATATAATTGAAACTGTTCGCTCACTACATTGCTATCATAAAAAACCTTTCATGCAGGAATTCTGAAGTAACAGCGCAACGTCAACCTCTAAAGTGGACAGGTGATAACGTTACAAGTTCACAGGAAACGTAGTTCCTTGATCTTAAAGCTTGCCTTAAGGTATTTTTTCATTCTCTTGATTTGTAGGCATTGAATAATGTTGTATATAAAGGACATAAAATCAATAATTATTATGTGGTTGTATATAGGTGATGTTATTAAGCTATAATAAATATTTCATTTGTAATTGAAACAGGATGGTTCATACGTAGTTTATGGGACCATTGTGTCAACAATAGCGGAGATTGGTGGTATTTAGCTTGCAAGTGTAATAGAGCAGTGAGACCGGATGGTGCCACGTCTTATTGTGTGCACTACATGTGTCGTGTTCTCAATGCCACTCCACGGTTAAGATTATAATCTCTTCACTTATCTTACAATTGCTCACCTATGTATAACTTTTGACTGTTGTGATACCTTTTTTTATAGATGTTTAATCAAGCTCACCGTCGAAGATGATTCTAGGAAGACAACCTTTGTTTTATTTGACCGTGAGGCAACCTCAATTCTAATCACTTCATGTGCCATTTTTCTCGATAAAGTTGATTCTATAAGTTCTCATATTTTTTACAGTTTTGGCCTCAAGAAAAAATGGTTGTTTATTTTTTCTGAAATATCAAATTATTATATATTTAAACAGATGACACCATTTGCATGGAAACTAATCGAGCCATCACTTTCAATAATGTATATTTAAGCATACCATCACTTTCATTAATGTATGTGTGCATGTTATCAAATATATCCTAAATCAGGAAGGAAAATCTGAAAGTCCAAAAGAATTTGGTGATCTTCTACTCAGGAAGACATTTCTCTTTGAGGTCGAGGTGCGATCCATGTTTAGGAGTCGGCACGATCAATCTTTTAGGGTGTCAAAGATATGTCATGATTCAGGAACATTGTCTAAATATTTAGAATCTATTCGTGACTTAAATGTTAAACCCAATGTCAGGGGTGTGCACAATTTGGTAAACCGATCGAACCGAAACTGAAAATTTGATACGTACCGAAACCGAACCAAATAATTCGGTTTGGTATTCGGTTCTCATATTTTGAATAAATCAATTTTCGGTTCGGTAGAAAAATTGGAGCTGGGATTTCGGTAAAAACTGAATACCAAATTTTTTTAATACTTATGTACTACCTCCGTCTCAGAGTATTTGTCTACTTTCATTTTTACACACCATGCAATACACTTCTTTAATCCATTTTATCTTGTAATTTGTATATTATAAAATTATAGAAATTATATATTAATAATCTATATGTTAAGACAAATCAAACAAGATCACACGTGTCTATATTTAGGCTTACACATTGAGAGAATTTGATGAGTCAAAGTACTTAGATGAACAGTTCCAAAAGTCAAAACTGGACGAATACTCCGGAACGGAGGGAGTATAATTTTACCCGTTTCTACTCAATCCAATACCCAATATCTAGCCCGATATTGAAATACTGAATATCCAAGCCACTAATTTTATGCTTTCATAAATAATACTAAATTTATTATTTTTACTTAAAAGTTAACAAATTCCTATACCGGTTTTCTAGGTGTTACACTTTCCATCTTTGGAAATTGTTTTTGGTGGCGCTTCATATATAGTCATCGATCCATCCAAGAAAGATATTAGCATCAATAGCACTCATGATATTGAGAGACCATGCGGAGTAGTTTGTATTTTTGATTTTTTGGGACAAATTGTGGAGATTACTGAGTAGAAATTTCACTCCGGAAGAAAGAAAGGCTAGAGGGTCTGACATGGAGGCCATATTCGGCGATCGGCCATCAACAAAAAAAGAGAAGCGACCGATAGCGAAGCACGACCATGAAGAGGAGACTAGGTTTTTGAGAACCTTTGCTCCAATACCATGATACGATTTGCTAAAATATTGATCTAAATGAATAATGAACTCTCGAGGAGTATTTATAGTACACTGTGTAGAATCCTAAATAAGGTAGGAAGATAGCTATAGTAACACAAGATTAAGGAAATAAATAATATTAAGGTTCTATTCCAATTAGGGGTAAGGTCTGCGTACACACACCCTCCCGAGACCCTACTCGGCTACTCTTGTGGGATTCAACTGGGTTGTTGTTGTTGTTTTATTCCAATTAGTATATATAAACTCTTTACTACTCTCTCCGCCCCATAATTCATTACAATTTTATTTCCTCTCTCATCTCGATAATTTTTGTTTATTTGTGTGTTTTGAGTGATTATTTGATAAAATAAAATATTCTTGTCACCTCTTGTTTTGTAAAACTTTTGAAGTAGTTTTTGAATATGTAAACTTTATTTTTTATTTTAATATCAATTCTTAAATAAAAATAATTTTTAAAAAATGGTGTTTTACCTCGTATTAGTAAAATTGTAATAAAAAATAAGACAGATGGAGTATGATTTTGTAATTTACTCATTTTTTATAATATTATTACGTTAATTATCATTTAAATATAGTTAGTTTACACACTTTAACTCGTTAGGCTATTAAGAATAATGCATTTATGACTTATTTTTCCGTTTCGGCCCACACCATGAAACTCTTAGGGCAGATCTTGAATTTGAGAGGGAGGGAGTAGTAAATTAGAACAAAAAGTTAAAAAAGTTCTTTAACTTTAAAATTTGCAACCATCTTCAGCATTACAATTGTTTAGGGGGGGGGGGGGGGGGGGGG